CTACATTTCCATTCTCCTGTTTGTTCTCCGAAGAACAAGGCTAATGTTACTGTCTCGAACACATGCTAGTTTCAAACGCTGTACTAAATTCAAAGCGTTTTGAAGTACGTAAGGCGCCACTCGCAGATGTGTAAATGTAAGCTGTCTTTTTGTCAAAAGCTTAGAAGGGGTATAAGCCACAGAAAGAAAGGTTCTCGTGAGTTGTATTAGGGATTCACTAATGACTACCACCGTCGCTAATCTTATTTTGTAGACACCGCAGCCATGATATGCGTCACTTGCCACTGTCGAGGAAAATATGCGTCAAATTTTCAGAATTATTCGTTATTTGTACGGGGTTTTGAACTGAAGTAGCCATTTTGAAGATCATTAGGTGCGGCTCACAGCCCTGCCCGTCTTAAGACCTAAGCCATTCTAGTTTTAAAGCCACACGCCCGTTAAGATGTGCACACTATTTCTGACAGGTTATTTCAATGTTTCCCAAGCAGTCATGACGCCATGCTAATGTCATTTAAATCCTGTCATTATCATGGACACGCGGCGGTCGAGACCAAAAGAAAAACAATTATCGAGTCGTGCATATCTGGCGATCGTGAGCACGATTTCCAGATGTAACGACCGTCAGTTGGCTCCCAATCAATGTTGTGCAAGGTACGATGACGTGATCGAACAATAACGTTGTCAGTAGCATACTAACCATACAGAAAAATCAAAGATCAGCCTCTTCCACTTAGAATTACACCAATAATTATAAGTGAGCTTATTTTATCATATCTGATCCTTACCCCAGTATCGTCAAACGTTGAACGTTCCCTTTAAAAGATGCCGTATGTTGCAGTCAATTGCCCTTTATCCCAATCCAGGCGTTACGATTAGAGAAACTTGTCAAATATTTCAGACTGACTGAACATATGACGGAGTTAGCATGAGAAAAAGCATTAGGTATTTTCCGGATCCTTTTGGTACAAAACTAATATGATACTTGCAGTGACGTATCGAGGTATCTACTATCTATTTTACCAATAGTAAAATAACTGCTCCGTATTTATTTGGCTGAATATTCCCTCTTTGCTCATATACTGACGGAGCTCAGAGGAGCATTGGGTGAAGTGGACCTAAGTCAGCATTAGGGGCTCAAGCCTTCCCCAAATCTGTATGCACATCCAAGTTGACACCTCTGGCTAAGTAGCTAAGAATCAACAAATTATCTGCGAGTGTACATAAAACTTGTCAGCTCTGTGCTATGCCCCATAGAATTTGAGGGCTTAAACTTCAGCTTGGTGGCGCAGTCATAAGGCATCCACCACACACCCGCACACCACACAACCGCACACCCACGTTGATGAAAAATGTCGCCTTTCTCACTCTTCACCAACGTTTAAGGAGCACTGAACTTCGAGATTTCAGGCATGCAAAACTTCAAATCATAGCGCTCCCTTACAATAAAATCCTCAGCAATTTGCCGGGGGCAAAATGCCATATTTTGCTTTAGCCAAGACTGCAATCATCAGCAGAAGAGTGATAAATCACTGTATGAGAAGTTCACGGCCAAAGTATTTGACACTTTTGTTGCATTATGGTCAGCGCGACGGCTATGGACCGACATGATATGTGCGGAAATCCCCCACATCAGAATGGCACCTTTGTCTAGCAAGAAACTATAACAATCAAAATCACTTTCGTCATGTAATTATATCAAGTATTCCACCCAAAATGTAGGAGAGTGCCAGGTCTAAAGCGGTGTGGATCGGTTGAGGACGCTGGCTGCTGGCCGCGCCATTATTGTTTATACCGGTGTCATGAGGAGCAAAGCTTGTTTTGAGGATCATCTAATTCAATGACCATTTATCGTGGATCATGTTTATGTACGTAAGCTCTGCAAGTAATGCATACACATGAGCGGGGACGGGGCCATGATCAAGGGAGTCTCGTTTTGTCGCGTCTGCCTCAGATATGCCAGCGAAAATTTTTTAAGTTTCGGACAGTCTCGATGGGAGGAGGTCTAACATCATAACTGTCCGAGCAAGCACGATGGTATTTAGAACTAGCAATCTGCAATTTTATCAACACAACCATATTTAAAAACTTTTTGACATATCTATAAAACATTTTTAGTCGAAAATCGCTGTTAAAAGTTGTTGCACTGCGAAAAAAGGCTGAAAATCCTTCAAAAGGTTTTCGTCACTTGACCCACATCATGTATGTCACACATAAGCGAGGGCATAACGCGCCACAGCTCTTTACGACACGTGACCGGACAGGTGGACCGCCCTCCTGGGGACGGGCTCACTGTGGTTCGCTGTCAGCCCCCGGGACGTGGCTCTCCCACGAAGGGAGGCTATGGGCCGGAGGGATGCAGTTCCCGCCACATGCTGAAGGAAACTAGGGTTGAGAACTGATTTGAAGCTGGAAGTGAACACAGGTAGAGAACTTAACCCCAAAAGGTATAAAAGACATCATCCAACAGGCATAAAAACAACATCATGAAAACGAATAACAACAGAACACAAAATAGAGTGCGCGTGAACGTCATGTAATGTCGCGATGGGCGTGGATGTAAAAAGGCGTCGACATGTTGAGTGTGGGTGTGTGCGCATGCGCATGTACGCAAGGCATCCAGAGTAAGCTCCAGCATAACACGTCAATCCACCTATGGGCTTATCCTTACTGACTACGCTGGCGTCCCTACCGACCCGTGGACAGACTAGCTTGCTTGGTCCGTGACGGGGGTGTCGCCAAAACCAGACCAGGATTCTCATTTGTCCCTAATATTCTGTAGTACAAGAACCCGAGGCAGGTTTGCAGCATAATATTGACGCCGGCATTGTCGGTAGCAGTCTGGCAGTCGTCACATCTGGCACTGCATACTTTGTCACAAATCGTTTTAATGCATATTTGTGTGCTATAAATCGCCACAACTATCCTGAGAAATCCTTATCACCCGTACTATTGCCTTGTTTGTCTAGACGCTCTCACATTTTAAGCAGGGGGTGCCGCAGCTTTGCAACATTCAGCTCCTAATTTGGATGTTAAGAGCTGGCAGTAAATCTGCTTCCTGGAAGAGATTGCATTCTAACGAATTTAGTTTGACTGTAATAAATCACAACAGCTTTAGAGCCCCACCTCTTTTCATGTAAGACTCTATCGTGGTAATGCAGGTCCCAGAGGGTGGGTAGTCTAGACACTCGTTAAAGAAATTGAGTGTTTATCGAGGCTATTTTCCCGATTGAATACTGTGAACAACATAACAATATGATACTGTCATCGCATCATCATGATTTGTCACATTTTCAGCGATTAAATGCCCATGACGACATCGTCAACACAAAGGCCACTTACGTGTTGTACTTGTCCAGTGGTCTAATGGTACACAAATACATCTCGAGAAGATAATGTTACAAAGCATTCTTGTTTGCACAGCTAGGTGCTATAAATGAGCTGTTTTGCAACATATCTGAGATGTGCGGTGCTACTTCTGCTGATTCTGCGGAAAGTGTGCGACGATGGCCCATACTTTGGAACGTAATCGCATGCGGATGAAGCCGTTCCCGAAAACGGCGCTACTGCTGGACTTGTAGCACATTGCTCTACCTGCTTCTGGAACTAACTCAGTGTTCAAGAAAACACGTACAGTCCTTTGAACGTACTGTTGCATGCAGAGCAGCTGGTGCACGAGGGCCCTCCTGGTCAGCTGTTTGTGGGTGATGGGTAAGTAGAAAAGTCAGAAACGCATTCGGCATCTAGAGATAGGTATCAGGGATTATGATACAGTCATTCGCATAACTGTAGTGCCTTGTCCTTATTTTCTTAAGCTCTTAATGCCGTATCCAACCCTTATATCACGTGAAACATTGCATTGCAGTTGTATCTACGTTCCAATTTAGTCACACCCCGTTGTAGTTAAGAAAGGGATTGCAATTCACTTTCCCAGGAAGGTGATTGGAGACTTAGCTGCGAGTTAAAAACATCAAAGGATTGCAGGTCGCACATTAATCATTTTACAAAGCAATTTCCCATCCGTAGTGATGTTTACTCCCCCACAAACTATCCATCACCCGAAGTATGGTTATAAAATGCTTAAGAATCGGCCACGCATTGTTTATCACGTTCATATAAGATACACCCAGATATTTCCCTGAAATAACGCGTATGTGCCCCACTGAACGGCGCGTAGGTTTAAAGCCCATGATCGCATTCGCGTTAGCCTAAAGCTGATGTCCTTTGTTTGTTTAGAACCACGCTTTGGCTTCTTCCCATTTTGCATCGTAAGCCTGTAAGTATTCCACCCCCCTTCTTAGGTGCACGGAGTGGAACAGGAACCATGCGATCAGATCACCAGGCACGCAACAGCTATAAAGTCATTTAGTCATCTAGCCTTTTGATACTCGATTGTCCTATTAGCACCAGAGTCATCAGATCATCGCCTCGCCTTCTCAGCTCACAGCTAACACGGCACACCTCGGGCATTTCCAAACGACCCATTCTAATCCAAATCCTCTTGTTTCGAATCGGGAAACCGTCAAGACTTTTACAACGACAAGATTTAGATTCTCTTTCTACCGGTATGGTCAATCTGCCGACTTTTCAGTCGCGCCGAATCGGATCATCCCGTCCTCAGGTCAGGGCACTTTCCAACGCAGCGAACCACACCGAGATCTCCTGCAGGCTTTCCTGCCCCTGCCGCACACCGGATCATCTCGACCGCAGCGGCCTGACCAATTCACACAGCCTCCCATCCCAGGTGTGCCCCCCCCCCCCCCCGCTCCCTCGAGCGATGCTCTAATCTGGACCGGGCCGGCCGGCCGCCGGCCGGGCGGTGCGGGCCGCTCGGCTCCGCTCGTATATAAGATTTAGCGTGGCCGGCTGAGCCTCCAGAGCGCCACTGCCGTCGGGTCAGGACGCACGGCCTGTCTGCCCGCCGCCGCCGCCGCCGCCGCCGCCGCCGCCGCCGCCGCCGCCGCCGCCGCCGGCCGGACCCGTGCACCGCCCCGCCCCCGCCGCGCTCGCCACGTGCACGCTCCCGGACGGGCAGGACAGCAGCAGCCCGACGCCGCTACCGGTGAGCCCTGCCGTGCCGCGCTGGTCAGGTCGGCCCAAGGGATCTGCTTGCTTCGTCTTCGGTCTTCCTCGCGCTGGTGGGGGCCTGGTGCCCGGTTTATCTTGACAGGGATTGTTAAAGCTGAGACTGACCACGTAGCTGTTGCCCAGCTTTTGTGGCGAAGGGAGGCATTTGGGCTTGGTTTCATGTTGCATGGAGGCCCCTACTCTTCACAGCATACAACTGAATTGTCCCAACTGGGAACTGTTCACTTTACTACAATGAACAGTTCCCAGAAAACAAAATGAAACAAACGTGTGGGCGGTGTCATTATTGCACAGCCTTACAAAGACTATCTGGAAGTGCAAATTTCGAGCGAATGATGAAGATGCGAATCGGAACCAACCTACTTTTAAAACTGCTAAATGTACTATGTGTTCGTGGTTTGAAAGCTGTGTGATGTTGATTATTAGATGTTAAGGGCTCGAGGGCTTATTCAACCTGCCGAGCATGCGATTTCGAGTCAATTTTGAGGGTGCGGTCGCGATGTTTTTAACGTATCAATCGCACAGCACGTGAACTAGCTGCATTATGAACATTTAATGCTGCCAAGGTTCGCTGGGTACTTATTGCAATTTCCCATCAATCATGGGTATATAACGTAAGTAGCTCATTTATCCCAGGACAGCATTACGGTCGGACCTACCTACTGATCTATCAACGTGTTCCATGATTGTGGTTCATGTTGTGTCGTGCATAAGACGATCCACGGCATTCAGTGCGAAATGCATGCGGCTTACATAATTAAGCGACAGCGGAATAACTGAATAGTACTAAACAGGTGGTTTTGCGCTATTTGACATCGTTCATCATAGCACCTGTCGCTTTAATGCTGATGATGGGTCCTATGGCTGATTGTTGATTGATAAACGGAAGCAATGTAACAGGTATATTAATTACGGCAAAATGGCTCGTATTGGCTGACAGAGTATGGATGGTAAGGCGTCAATCTTGACGAATCATTTCATCCACATGACTTTTTGCATCATTTTCCCCGGACTGGTTAAGGTTTCCACTTGGTGACAAACATGCATCCTCAACGGTCCGTACGGACCTTTTGGGGGCTCAGGACCTTCTCAGACCGTGATTGAATGGTGAAGAGCCAGGCGGTATCTAATAACAATTCAGTGACAAACTAGATCGCAGTACCAGGACATAACGGCCCAGGTGCCACGTTCTTTATCTGTAAAGCATGACGTCATAGCTATAACCGCGCCTGCCGTAAAGCAAATAGCTAACAAGTCAACCCAATGCACATTACGTGTCTCGCTCGTTCAAACCAAGAGGCGTCACAGCTTTGTGTGCGTCTGCTATGGCAGCCAATAACCCACGCGCCGTTCAGTCCCTGCGCGGAAGTCAGGCTCTGACCCCCCAGCAGCAGATGGAGGCGCGGCTGCCGTGCAGCCGCCGCTGCCGGCCCCGGTCACCTCTGATGCCGATGGTCCGTCTGCAGCGACCAGTGTCGGCCGTGTCACAGGCGGCAGCGCGGCTTTCTCCGCGGCGCCGGCGCGGCTGAGGCGGCAGCCACCGACTGTTGCCGGGCAGAGGTGGACGCTTCCGGCGCCGGTAATGAGCCCGTCCGTCTCCGCCCCTCCCTCGGCGAGGACGGGCCAGTGACGTCACCGCTGCGGCGCGGCGAACGGCAGCTCGAATCGGCAATGCGCCGCGCCTGACGCGCTAGTTGCCATGGAGACAGCAGGAACGCGGTTGAGTTAAACACCGGCGGCGCGGCTTCTGCGCCGGTCGTCAACGAGACGGATGTTTTGACGGCTAAACGGAGTTTTGTCGTGCAGCCTGACGTGCGTTGCCGACAGCGGGAAGCGTCCGATGACAGATCGTCTCCAGACCGAAATACCCGTCATTTGTGGAGTTCTGTCTGGGTCTTGAGCATATCTGAGACCAGGAAGCCTCTTCTACCCATTGCCAAGTATGGACAATGCACGTTCGCCGCATTGCATAATGCATGATGCTCTCTCAATCCATAACTTGCTTGACCGGTGGCCGCGAGGATCTCTGCTGCGACCCATGGCTAACGGGCGGCGCGGTGTGAGCCGCTGATCCTGAGCCCATTCATTTCAAAATAATCGCTTCCAGTCATGCAGCTAATGGTATAATACGCCGCCATCAGGTGTGGGGACGCACAGGTGTGGGAGCGAAGAGCCCATGCCCGCCCGTTCGTATAAAGCATGAGATCATTCCTATAGTGATGCATGAAAAGAGTTGCCAAAAGGGCAATCGTCCTCTCCTGTTCTTCTTGCGACGTCTCTGTGAGTTCATGTTCCTGATGCGTTAAGTCGCTGATGCCACGAGAGCCAGTAGACTGGTGTCGCATTAGCATGCGATAGCCATGCGTGTAATCACCAAGTGTTTGGTATTACATGCTGAAAGGTCAAAAGTTCATCGTGATAGCCGAGCCTACGTGACCAGACAGATTCGTCCCTAGCCTCGTGGCCTCGTGCTGAACACGTGAAAGGTTGCGGCCCTGGCAAGAGCGGTAGGGGAGGGGGACGACGACGACGGTTGGTGGCCCGGCAAATAACGCTCTCAAGCCTGTTCATCCCATGGCTTAGAATTGCGGACGACATCAGTACCAGAGCAGCCATGGACTACCGCTGAGCAGCGTGCCGGGAAAGCTCGGCTCCCTTTGAAGCTGCCGCCGGGGGAGATCGGATCTCGCCGGCGTCGCAGGTAGTCGTGGTTCCCGAGTCCGACCCGCGCCCGCTCCGCCACTGCAGGGCTCAGAGGCCACGGCGACGCTGATTACAGCGAGAGGCGCCCTCAGCGACCCCGGGTTCAGTGCTCACGCGATGGTGCACCCGCTGCCCTGCTGTCGTCATGGACCCGCGGCGTAGATCGAAGCTGTGGCGCTGTCCAGAGAGCCCGCTAATTGCTGAGAAGTGACAGGCTCTCACGCCAGCCGTCAGGAGCACGATGAGTCCGAGACGGGGAGTCGGAGCTGCCCACCGGTATCGCGTCCCAGTGAGCTCCACGCGGAAGAGGTGCTGCGGTCCTCTGCTGGCAGTTACAGCCCTCAGACCTCACGTGCGCCCTGCGGTTTGCGCCCCGTCCGTTCGGCTCCAGCCGCTGTCAGCGTCTCGGGCCGCGTAAGAGTCACTTCCGCCCGTCACCGTCCGCCGCTGCTTCCTCCGCCGCCAGAAGCGGGCCGGTCGCCGCCTTCGATCTGTCCCCACTGCCGCCTGACGTGTGCGAGAGGACATCGCCCCCTCGCGCTCCCATGGGGACTCAGCGTCCTCCGCCGCGGGCTGCCGCCGTGCTCCGACCGAGACAGCTCGCCGCTCGCGCTGGCTGCGTCCCCCCCCCCCCCCCCCCACACCTGCTAGCTCTTCGGACCGGCGTCCGATGGCGTGACTCCCGGCCGGACAGGCTTGCGTGCCGCGCGAGGCGCGACGGCGTGCGTGATTGCCGCGCTGAAACGAGGCGACGCGTCGGAGGAGCTGGCCCCCGCCCTCGCCGCGGACCGATGTTCAGTGCCTGCCCCGCGCGAATGAATGGCGCGACGTTTGAATGACTTATGAATGGAGACGCGCCTGTGGAGCTGCCGAGCCGGCGCTCATGCATGACGCTCACTGCTCCCCTCCCCCTCCCCCTTTCTCGCACGAGTGGGAGCTGCGGCAGCCAGAGCATTGGTTGTTGTTTAAACGCGGCTGAGCGGGCCGTGGCTGATGGATGGCAGGTGCTCACGAACCGCTTCCCTTCCCCACGCCGTACCGACCCAGGCCACTCGAATTACGGGCTGGGACATGGGCGCCGTGGTGGCGGCCAATTGGCATCGGACTGGTCACCATTTGGGTGTCCAGGGATGTCATAATCATGAAGGACATACTGGAAAACCTAAAAATTTGTACCGGGCTGGGTAAAAGTAATCGGCTTAACACCCTGGCGACATTTTCCACTACATAGTACTATTAGACAAACCAGTCTGTTCCGTAACAGACAAAAAAAAAACACCTATGCGCTCCTGAAGCAAAGCTGTGAGCTAACGTGTTTCCACGAGTTCCCGAAGCGCCCACCACGGGCGTTCATTGGCGTGGAGGTTATCTTTTTATCACGACTATTGGCGTAAACTATAGTGACATGTGACATGTCAGCCTTTCTCTGTCTGTCACTGTCGCTGCTGATCATCAGAGTTGCTCTTGCGCCAACGTTCCCGCTCCGTTCGGCATCCCCCTGATCGTGCCCTGTCTCACTTCTGACCCCCTTTCCAGAAAATGATGGAGTCCACAATGCTGATGTTGGCGAGCCTGCTGGCCGTGGCCAGCGCCCAGTCCGAGTATTGCAGGTTCACTCCTAAGCACACACTGTGCCAGTTCCAGGTGAGTCGACTGTCCTCGATCTCGCGGCTGCTGTGATCGGGTCCCACCAACACCTCCATCCCTCAAACGCCGAGTGGACTGATTCTCTTTGATGTTTGGAGCCCCTGTGAACACTTGAATGCCACTGCACAGAGATAGACCAGCCTGATGACCCGAACCTGTCGTCTCCGGGTCGAGCCGGGACGAGGGCCGACCGCCTCGGCACGGTCTGCTCTGGCGTGGCCCGGTCAGGTCCAGCGAACCCGGTAACCCCGCGTGCCATGAGCCCCAAATATAGCTGCCGCGTCCCATACGCCCCCGGAGCGCCGCCGCATGATCGGCAGCCACGGAGGTGCCGTTGGCGGAGAGGAGGACCTCCCAGGGCGGTCGGGGCCCGCGTCCCGGTGCGACGCCTGAGCCCGGCGGGGTGGGCGGAGCCGCCGCCGCGGCCCCACGACCGCCCGGCGGCCGGCGACGGCTGCACGAGCGTGACGGGGCCGGCGGAGATGGGGCGGGGTGATAGGAGCCGGCTGACGGCCGGCCTGCCCGTGCAGCGCGGCTCGGAGCGCTAGGAAGTCACCGGCGCCGGCGGCGCAGGATCCCTGGAGCTCGGTTACGAGCTTCACGGGCTCGTTCGGCGCAATCTGCGCTTGATGGTCGGGAGAGAGGGAGGGACAGAGGAAGCGGGAGTGCCGCGCGTGCCATTGGTTGCAGTCTAACGACGTAACAGGGCATCCCAAAGACTGTCTTAAACCGGAGATAAGCTGCAGACCACAAAGCAACCGTTGCTCTCTTTGGGCCCAAGGACGAAATGCCGCAAAGGCGTGATTTTACAACTCTCACTACCCGCGAGTACGAGAGCACAAAGTTCTGAGAACCGCCACAGGGGCCGGTCGGTGGCTGAGCTGGCGGCGCTGGCAGCCGATGTGCTAACTGGCATATCCACCGAGCGGTCAGTCGGCCACGGGATCAGACGGAGCTGGCCTCCCCACACCAGAGGCGCGGTCAGGGAGTGGAGAGGGACATCACGGTCACGTCATACGCCCTGCTTCAAGGATACACTGAGCAAAGCAGTGTGGTGGTGTCCATGCTGGACGGTAGGCGACAGGCGCCCATGGACGTTTGGTGTCTGTGCGCGCCTCTGCCCACCCTGCCCGCCGCGGTGACCATCAGTCGCGCCGCCCGAGCCCATGGCCGGCGTTCGACAGGCGCGAGTGACGACTGGAGCGCCCTGTTGCCACGCCGCCGCCGGCGCAGGCGAATTAACACGCCGAACTGGCCACATTACCATTCCCGATGGGCGGTCGGGACACGGCTGGCGACACGGCCGGCCGCCGCCGGCGGTCGTGCCGCCCAGTTGTAAATGTCGGCACGAGCTGACGGCCGCCCTGAGTACAAACCCGTGTCGCCCGCCGCCCTGTGTCCGTGATGATCCGCGTGATCCCGGAAATTCTGCGGTCTGATCTGGAGCTGCCGGCCCGCGCGGCGCGCCGAGACAGCCGCGGTCGATGCTGGTTACGCGATCGGCGAGATGCCACTCCGCATGCTGCTGTAAGGTATGCGCGCTCTTTTGGTGCGGCTGGCGCGCGGTAGATTTACTTGATTCCGTGGGCTTAGCTCGCTAGAGTGCTGTGTTCAGGTCCTGATCGCTGACCAGTGCAGGGAAGTCTTCTTCTGGTGATCATGGGATCATGTAACCGTAAGCCAGATATACGGCAAGGAGGATCCAGTGGGTGTCTGGATAGGAAATGATCTGCCTATAACAATTTGACAAGCTAGATAGAAATTACGTGATAAGATCACCCTATTGTTTTAAAACTGGTTTATCTGTCAGCCTCGCGCGCGATCAGCTGGCGACATGTGACCGAAAACTACGGCCAGACAGCATGCTCACTGTCATCTGATGAATTCAGCAGCTGCACCCGTTTCGGTAACCTCTTTAGCGGGCTCGATTCGTAACGGTGCCATGGACAAATGTGAGCTGCTTTATCAGCGACATAAACTAACGACTCCCGGTGCCAGATCCGCACGGAGTCCGCGCGTTCAGCTGCATGAACCCGTTCGAGGGATTCAGTCACCAGACAGTACAGGCACCGCCAGTGCCAAACCCGCTTGGAGTTTGTTGACGCCCTTGTCAGTGGGTCAGGACACTCGGAACCCATCCAACGTCCCTGTCAGCGGGTCAGGTCACTCGGAACCCATCCTACGCCCCTTTCAGTGGGTCAGGACAGCTCTAAACCCATCCCCAAACTCCGACCAAGTCTTCGCTGCGCCCTCTGCGCACGCACTGAACTGTTTTGCACGTCAGGAGACGGAAACTGCGTCCTGACACCTGAACAGGCTTCAACAGTGAATTGGAATAACGAAATAAGGGAAGGAAACTTGCGCTAAGGATTCCTTCGATACACTTAAGCAGTGTTCTCATGACAGGTTTCGCTCTTTTGCCCAGCACGGAGCCTGAGATGGAAAAATTGTTGCTCTTTCCCGCTTTAATAACGTTTATTATATATCATAATTGCCTATATAACTTGATTATTTTAGTCGGATGCAATAACCGGTCTCTTCCGACCGCCGGTTAAACCGGTTATCACGGTCAAACGATCCAATGCAGTATAACCACTGTGAAATCCTCTGATCTGTTGAAATTGTCGCTAACGCTTCGATCGGGGTGGTCGAAAGGTCGTATAAGGGGAGGCTGTCGAATGCAGCTCTCTCGTCTTTTTATGAAGTTCACTAAGAAAGCCCCCCTGCCGACTTATGGGCTTTACATGTCGCTTTGCGAGACATTCGCTACTCCATTACATTCCGAGTGTTATCCTTATCTAGGTCATGGTGATGTGGAAGAGGTATGTGCTTGTAAGTCTTGCCTTGTTATCTGCACCACTCACGTCGGTTGCAAGAGTAATTTGAATGAATGATCATGAGATAACGCCTTGCATTCCGTATCCCTTCGCATTCTTTGCGGCAAGCATGACCTTCGCATGTCGACATCCTGACTTGTGCTCAGTTTATCGCACAGAAAACTGTGAACGACGAAATAGTGGTCATCGAGGCGTGTTTGCACTGATGAACCAGCCTTTCTTGTCCCCATTCATTCAACGGTAAATTTGGGCACCATCAAGTTATCATTTCTGGCCTCCATGCCTCTCGTCCACTTCCTCCTCGGAGCCGGGCCTTTGAGATCACATCGGTAAGTGAGGCCGACACCTGACGGCACTCCTCGTGGGCGTGCTGTTCCGGCGAGCTGGCCGCCCCTCTGCTGCCGCCGCCGGGGCTGGCCGGCCTTGGCGGGAGCCCTGACGAGCCCGCCGCCGCGCCAGACACCGCGGCGCCGCAGTGGGATGGTGACGGCGAGGCCGGCCGGCCCGGCCGCCCCCCGCCGTGGCTGCACGCGGCGCCCTGGGGACGGACCACCCACCCCCTCCTCTTCCTATGGTTCTGTTCACGCCATCAGCGACCTTCGCGAAGTCGTCGGACTTACGGGTCATTCCAGCACCTACACAGGAGGGGACGGGACACGAAGACAACTGCCGATAACGATGACTAATATGTACGTGACCAAGGTTAGATGCGTATCAGGAGTACAGGTGTGCGAGGGGAAGGCTTTGGGTCTCGCCGAGACGCTATTCAACACTCAAGTTTCGACACTTGAAGGCTTCGCCTGTCTTCCGGTTGTTCCCCGCCGCCGGCCGGGCCGGAAGGGTGAGAGGGTGTCAGTTAGAGAGGGGGGGGGGCAGAGGCCGCGCCCTGACCGCAGGCAGAGTCGGAAGGGTGAGAGTGGTATCGGTCGGGGGGGTGGCGGAGGCCGCGGCCTGACCGTCACCCCATGGCCGGAATGAACCGGACATCTCTTGAACCGTCTTCTTGGACTGGCGGTTTCTGTTCCGCTGCTTCGCTTCATAAATCCCCGCTGGAGACGCGTGCCGATGCTCTGCTGTGCCGGCGAGTCAGCGCGGAAAACGGTGCCGGAATCTTCCCTTTTACAGGAATTGTATGTCTCGATACGTCTCGGATTTGTTGTCTCTGCGGGACATCCTTTCATCCGCGTGCTGAAACTTGAACGGCTGGAGTTTGGTTGGTGCCCGTTGTTCGGCTGTCCTGCAGCTTGTAGATCATTGAAAGCACCATCCCAGGGGAAGTAGTGGGACGAGGCAGCTCGCTATTGGCGTGAATATTTATGGCCGGCACTATCTGTGGGGAGCCGTATCTGCAGGCTCTCCACCAACGGAGCGGCTGCTCCGTCGGCGGCTGAAGCGGAGTTTGGTGTCTCGGCTGGCGGACGACTTCCTGCTCCGTCTGATCGTGTCTATGCAGCCTATGCAGTCTGTAGTCTGTATGCAGTCTGTATGCAGTCTGCAGTCTATGCAGTCAGTGTCTATGCCGCCGCCCGGCTGGCGAGCGTCCGAAGTGTTTATGCAGCCGTCTGCTAGCGAGAGTTATATTCGTAGCCGCAGACCGGTGTTAGTGGCCAGGGAATGGACTGCCGCGAACCACGTACTTTCATGGATCCTTAAAACACTTTCGTAGAGTGACGAGCTTTCTGATGCAACCGCCGTGTGTCTGTACGTTTCTCTGTATGTCGGACCTTTGATCGCTGCTCTCGGCGTAACACTTTAAACGCAACCTTCATTAACCGCATCGCATAATCACGATTAACCAAATCGCATAATCATGACGTGTGAATGAGAGGTTCATACACCCGCCTACACCCGCACGGACAGGCCATGCACTCCTGAGCTGGCGTGCTGTAGCTGTGCGTCCCACGACCGGTGAGTTGACGGACGGTGCGCCGCTTCTCCCGCAGGGTACCGGACCGCACTGTGATCAGCTGCAGGCCCGCGAGGTGTCTGCCCAGGAGGCCAGGTACATCGTAGCTGAGCATAACGAACTGCGGGCTAAGGTGGCCAGCGGGCGCGAGACACGCGGCAAGACCTTCGGCCAGCCGTCTGCCGCCAACATGAACCAGCTGGTGAGCAGCGGCGCCGGCGCTCGGCGAGCGTCGCGCGATTTCCCGGCAGCTGGACATAGGTTTGTCGGACATCTAGCGTCAGATAAACAAAGCTTTGTATTGTGCTGAGCACCGCCAGAGTGCGGAGAAATATCTGCATATTCGTTGTGGACAATCGTTTTAACCTAAGGGAATTTGTTTATATAATGCCATCTTCGATCTGGGTGACTAAGCACTTTGGTATATTCATTGTCTTTGATTATGTTGAACAACTCGGTGGATGGACTCGTCCTAGCAAACCGATCCCTTCATTCACTTATAGATAGGTAGGTAGGTCTTCATCATCAGGGAATCCCCGTGATCAATTGCTCGAGAGACAACAGTTTGCATAGCGGCCGCCTGGCCGCCATGACACCCTCAGCTTGCGTGCCGGCGACTGATGACTCCCACCGACTCCCATGATGACTCCCACTGATGACTCCCACTGATGACTCCCACCGATCCTCAGGAGTGGGACGACGAGCTGGCCAAAGTGGCCCAGCGTTTCGCCGACCAGTGCATGTTCGGGCACGACTGCCTGGACTGCAGGCGCGTCGGTGAGTTTGGGTCGCGTGGCCGTTCATGTGTGATGGGCTGGCTTTGGGGCTGGATATGTATCGACAAGTTTGGTGTTAGCTAACTTACGATACGTGGAAGCAATCCACCGGACGCTGGCGCGCACCGCTAGATTGATCATTCCAGGATGGATCCAGCACCGGGTCTGAGAAAATAGGGCCATCAAAAGCGGCGAAGATTGTGCGAAATCCAACTCCGAGATAGTGAAATTCTAGTCTTTGCGTTCCTTTAGGTGGAGAGTGTGGCCCGTTGTCCTCATTTCGATTGGACCTCGCATGTTTCTGGGACCATTTACCACTAAATCAGTGAGTGCGTAATGATTTCTTTCGATGGTAGCTAGTTCTAGTAACCTAAAGCAGTCTCTCCAGTGCACCCATCATCCCATGAAACAGGACGAACCAAGCGCGCTTATTCTGGAAAAGCGCGTCAGGAGCCGGCCCTGCTTCTCCCGTCGGGCGCCGGTCTGTGCCCTCCCCGTCCCCGGAGGCTCGCCGCGTCGGCTACGGCCGCGGCCGGCCATGTCAGATGACACGTCGGATCACCCGCACGGCCCGACGCCCGCCTTTTTCGGCGGCGGCGCGCCGATCCGCCGATAGGGCTGAGCGTGATGCATGGCCGCGTCTGCGGTTGACGGGGCGGCGGCGCCAGCGGCCGCCCCGTGTCGCCGCGAATGGCGCCGGCCGCCGTGCGTCGTCTGAGACGGCGTCCGGTGTGTTTCAGCGCGGTTCAAGGTGGGTCAAAACGTGTACAGCTCGTCCAGCACACGGCTGGACAACTCCCCCAACTGGCGTCAGGCGCTCTACGCCTGGTACGACGAGGTGGCGCGGTTCAACCCGCAGAACATCGAACCGTTCGTGTGAGTATCCCTGGTGGTCGTGAAGCCGAGGGGGGGGGGGGGGTAGGGCAGAGAGCGCCTAGTGCATCTAGCCCTCTATTATGTGATGCAGCTCGATTTGCAACGGAAAGTAAAAGGTGAGCTCTGATGGAGGGACAAAACAGATGAATTGGAATATAGTTGGTCCCAAAGAGACAGGAGGGTTTTATATCACCTCGCATCAGCTTCTACGGGTGTGGCATGAAATCGTGAACAATCCCAGACCACGGACAATGACAACGCATATGTCGTGGCACGGTTTGCGACAGTGCGACATCGAAGGAGTGGCATCTGTTTTCAAGTTACGTAATATCCAAAGCATCGAATCCTAAATGCAGTAGCATCAAAGACATTCCACAGCATACCTCCATCAAAGCACCACGAACAAATGCATCGGTGCGCCCACAAATTGACAGGCATTATCCTATGTAAAACACTTCGGTGACATTTCGATGGCATCTCGAAGACTGCAGCGCAGCGATGCGTGTATCTCCTTGGAGACTGCAGTTTGTCACAAGGCGGTAGCCGGCGTCCGCAGCGATCAACATGCTGGAATTCGGCCAGACAGGTTGCTATCTGGGCCTGAAAATGGATTTCTGTCCAGACAGTGGTCTCGTGCATTAGCCCCCTGCATAACAGCCCGGCAGTCTGTCAAGAGCCGTCGGACCAACTATTGAGAAGCAGGCATGTCTTGTCGTAATTCATTGGGTAGCCGATGTGACTACCGATAGCCCATCGAGATGTCTTTTCGACGATTTTTGATGCTGGTTATCCATTCGAGCTACCGCGAAATGCGACAGAAGTTCTTAGGATGATTTAAGTAGATCCGAGGTAAAAGTACGGCCCACATGGCAACATTTTCAAGGCAACTGTACATTATCGTGCCTCCATTCGTTTGCAGATATATCTCACATCACCTGCTATCTCTACAGGTTGAAGCATACACCCCACGGCCTCTGCGTGAATGCAACGCCTGACCCTTATTTCTCTCCACCTCGCAGGTTCTCCTCTCCCCTGGGCCACTACACGCAGCTGGTGTGGGCCAAGACCAGCCGCATCGGCTGCGGCTACACGCTGTACAAAGAGGGGCCCTGGTGGACCAAGCTGTATGTGTGCGACTACGGGTCGACTGGCAACTTCCAGGATGGTCAGATGTACGAGCGTGGCGCGCCCTGCAGCCGCTGTCCCAGCGGAACCAGCTGCTCCAATCAGTACCACGGACTCTGCAGTAAGTCCGCGGGCGGGCGGATCACTTCAGGTGGCTGCGGCCAGGGGCGGGCGGTGCCACGGATTTGGGGTTGGGAGGGGGGGGGGGCAGGATTTGCTAGGGGCCTCCTGGATAAAATAGGGATTCCTCAGAGGAGCCTCCTAGGCGGTGTTTGGTTCAAAGCGGTGGGGGGGGGGGGGGGGCACCGCGGTTCGTGTTCCCTTGTATTATTAACATATATATCAACCAATATGCGTGTAAAGAAATATCAACACTTAAAAATCTAGAAAAGGAGCCTTCTGATTAGTGAAGAGCTCACTTTGATCCATAAAAGGCCTACCTATCCCAAAACATGGCTTTCTGCGCTAGAAAAGGGCCTCCTGGTGCATAGAGCGGATTCCTGGTCTAGAACAGGATCTGTTCGATTCACAAAGGGGGCCTCCAAATCCAGTAGAGGGCTTTTAATCCCAAAGCAGGGCATTCTCATCCAGAACTTCGACTACCTGATACGCAGGCCCGTAGCCAGGTGGGTGCATTAGGTTCCCGGACTTCCCCTGGAATCTGGGATGCACCCTAGCCTGGTTCTGTATAACCTGTGCACTTCAGATAGTGGGGTCTCACGACAATTGGGTGGCACCCTTTCTTGTGTTGAGATGTGCAACAATCGTAACAAAAAGCGCCGAGGAAAAGCGCTGAGATTATCACTCGGCTCATATCAAGTCTGTCACCAGTCTCAAATCCTGTATCCCAGTCCCTTTCCATTGGCGGGATGCTTCTCGCACAAGGCTATGACACTCGACGCCTCGTTTCCAGCCGGTTCGTCCAACAACATTCGCGTGCAGAACAAGCCGGTTACGTCGTCCCCACCGGCCCAGGTGCCCGGCGTCGGCTCTCCCCCAGTGAACGCAAACGGCCAGCGCCTGTTCACCTGCGACCTGGACCACGACGGCTGCCGCGTCAAGTTCGTCGGCACCACGTGGAAGATCATCCACACCGACTCGCCGCAAGGTGCGCTGTCGGCTGGGAATGTCAGGGTTATAGATGGCGCTACTTATGGGAGGAGCATATTGTAGGTGACGGTGTGAGCCCAAGAACGCAAGTCAGGTGCTCCTTTTGGCGCAGTAGCCGTGGCGGTGCCACCGAGGGGACAAGGGAGCGGCCTCATTGACATTTTAAATGGGAAAACATGTCTTTGGAAACATCAAGAGGTCCCGCCATGCTCACGGCAGGCCCCAGGTGGCCGGGGGCCTGCCGTGGCCCCCGGTCAACAGAGCATTCCGTCAAGTCAGAAAATGGACCCTTGAGCCAACCTCACACGTAGGAGACAACCTCTGTCCCAATATGTCCAAATCGGGCTCTCTGTTCGTCAGGAGGTCCCAAATTATCGAAAGGAGACTCCAGCGTATTCTTTGGAGGCAAAATCAAAAAGAAAAAACACTGAAAGCTCCGCCAGTCCGAGTGGAAGCCCCGACTAGAAAGACCAGAGGTCCCGATCAGTGAGACCGGGGGATCCGCCATGCGAAGGAAAAGCTGTAGTCAATTTATATACTTAATAAGGTCTTTCTGAACTCGTGGACGAAATCTGAGGGGAAAATCGTTTGTGATCTGGTATGTCGTAGATTAGCCCAGGAGCCCCTAGTCTGTGTGCCTCATTGGAAAGCATCGGCGGCGGCTTATCTGCATGGCACTTTTGCTCGGCTGGGTTTGTTAGTAATTATTCATAAGGGAACCCGAGACCTGACAGGTTGAATTGTCTCTGAGATGTTGATCATCTCCAAAAATCCAAGCATGAGAGCACCAGTGCCCGACCGTGTTTTCACCTCCACACCTCTGCCACCTGCAGGTCGGATCTTGGGCACGGCGGTCACCTCTGGGCGCACCTCGGAGCTGACCTTCCAGCAACTGGTGGTGCCGCCACGCGACGGTTCTCTGTGCCTTAAGTTCGCCTACCTCAAGTACGAGCTGGGCGGCGACGCCGGTGTCGATCTGGTCATCTCGCTGGAGCCGCTGGGCGGCGCCGGCCAGCGACTTGAGTACGTGGAGCACGACAGCGCGCGCGGCCAGATGGTGCACCGCGCCGTCCAGCTGGACCACGTGATGCAGCCGTTCCAGGTGCGCGCGAAGGCGTCGGTGCCGGCCTGGGCGTTCGGCCAGGCCACGGTGCTGGCGCTGGACGACCTGGAGCTGGTCGCTGGTCCGTGCAGCGGCAGCGGAGGCGGTGGCCACGACGGCTTCACTTACCGGGACTTCTTCTGAGGGGACTCCGGACGTGGGGGCCGTGCCGACTGAGCCACGTGAACTCCTCGTGGCGCGTGCACCTAAGTCGTGGCACGACCTCAGTCCGCAGCGGTCGGCGTCGGCGTTGGGGACGCGACGCTTTAGACATTTTTTTCAAAAGACACGCATTTAAGCGCAAGTACATGTCCAATACCCAGTCGGTGACTGGGTACGGACAGCTCAGGAAACCAGTTGTGAGGCTTTAGATGTTTGATTGACCTGTTTCGGTTTAGTTTTGTTGGCTGCGCGTCATGAACGGCATCAAAGATGTACCCAGCTTTGAACGGTGCGCAGAAAAATGCTGGACATTGTTTTGTTTGACATCATCATCAGTCATCTTTCATGTGGTTGGGCGGTTTTCTATCCGTGCTGTTCCTTATTAATGCTTTGAATCACATACCTTGCTTTAAGCGTGGTGGCCTATGATCTACCTCATATCACACAGCCGTCCACAATATCCTCTTCAGGGCGCAGTTTGACCCTCTCATTTCCTTCCTTCTTGTGAAGCGCACACTGTACTTGCTTACAGCGTCATCAACACGGCGTCTATTCGAAGCATAAGGCTCCATTTGGCTTGTGGCTCGTTGAGATGTCAGACTTAATAACGCGGACAAACTCGAACTTTCGAGAGAACAGCTCTTCAAGCCATTGCGCCAGGAGCCAGCTGGCGCAAACCACAGACCCGCAGCCTTGTGGTTTGCCTTGGCACATTACTTCATCCGATGTTACGCGTTTTGTATAATCTGGGTGGCAGGCGGTGCTGTTGTGATGGCTGTTAGTATTTAAGCATATTTTAACATGGCGTCAAGCCAAGCTCCTGTACATGCCTTTTACAGAGCGTCGCAGGGCGTGGATTTGCAGTCCTCCCCCGCCGGTCGCTGGCGTTTGGCGCTCACGCGGTGTGTGTCTTTAAGCGGTCGGGCTGGAGGTGGGCGTCATGACAGTGGTGTGATGCTGGACCATCGCCACAATGCGGACGCAGCGGTGCTGCGGCGCGATGGAGCTGGTTCTCAGAGTCGCGTGCTTCCTTACGGAGACTGGGGCAGGGTCCACGTGAGCTCCGGCGAGCCGGTGCCGCTGCAGGGCAGCTGTAATACATATAGCGAATGTGCGTGTTGTTTGGAGATCGCCGAGGCGTCCGCGTAGGGCGGTGAGTCAGCGACAAATCACTGCGCGACTACCAGGTGAACGAGCAGATCGTTGACGAATTGAGTGGAGCTGAGAAACCTAACGAATCTGATCAAACAACCTCCACTTCTCTGCAGCAAATGCTGGCAGCGCAAGATCAGGCGCAATGCTGGGATAAACTTATCCGACAGTCCTGATGTTCTCCGTTCATAGACGAGCCAGCATGGAATACCTCGCTGGTCGTTCATCGCCGGTGCGGTCCGGTTTCACGTTGCCAACGTCTGGTTTACAGCCAGATGAACACCTTTTACACCATGGGCACACCAAGCGGCATCCTGCTGTCCCGGTGTGCCGCGGGGAGCATGAGAGCGGGTCACGGAAGCACCGCATGCGCCACGCAGGGGCTGCGCGTCGCCGGGCGAACCATGCTGCGACGGCATCTCCACTGATCTGGGGCGCGGCAACGTCCCGACAAACGGGGGCCAAGCCTCGCCTGTCGAGTCGGTTATTAACACGCATCGCTATAGGTTAACGCCAACAAGTCCGCGCAAAGTGGATGGACTCCCCCCCCCCCCCCCCCCCCCCCTCCGCCCGTATGCCTCTGCGCTGGCCAACGAATGGTGGCCACAGCTCCGTCGCTTGTCACAGCTGACAGGCAGAAGCGCTGCCCATGCGGCCGAGGGGCGGGGGGGGGGGCGTTCGGCCGGACGCCGACGCCGTTCATCCGCAGCATGTCTATGATGACCCCTTTTGCTGGTGGGTCACCAGGATGTGGGCCTGGGCTGGGGCGAAGCCCGGCTTACGTGGGGTGATGGCACACACGCATTCGACGGCTTGTTTATAAATATTGTGCGGCGTTACGTAATGCCGCGCCGTGGTCCGGGAGATCTATCGCCCCCAATTTCTTATAAAAGACGTGGTGGCGTTAACTGCCGGTATTGAAAGACCAGGCTTAAGTACAACTCTTTGAAAAGCACCACCGGAAATACAAATACGAACTTTGTAAGCTGTCCAATATCCTTCTTACCAACAGACGAGACTTATTGTACTTTTTTGTCGCTATGCGTGAATAGAGTTGCCTTCGGCAACATAGCGCAGGTTGCTGGGGCCTCACTCTGTCAATGGCATTGCAATCTACGGCTTGGTAGTCACGATATCGGCATACCCGTGGTGGGCCAAGCAATCCTTATAACAGTTTTTACTTCCAGCTACATAATTAAGGACTCACATTTAGACGTTTGATAATAGAATCCACAGTACACAGGCATTCATGTAACCAGCATAGGACCCTTTCACGTTTATTCCATTTTGTCTGGCAATACACCTTCAAAAATGTTTGGATCTTGCCTAGATCAACAATCGGGAACAAAAGCAGACAAAAATACAATATATATTTCCATGCTATCCACGAGCTTGTTTCCTGGCGCGAGAGACTGGCGCTACGGACCACATATCTACAGTCAGCCACACTTGCATTGCATCGTTGTTTGTAATTGACACGAACGTGACAAGTTTGCCATTGGAGCCATGGTCCGACATCATCTGCAGCGCTAGCGAACGGCGGCGGCGCCACGCTGAAACACGTCATCACAGAGCACCCGACCAGGCTCCCGTCGGCATAAACCACTCTTTTGACTGCACAACGTCTCGAAATTACCCATCACCTACCGTCGGGCGGCCACAGCTGCCCGCATCTCCACGACAGACTGCCGCCTTATATTCACGCCAAGGTCGCTGAAGTCTTCCCGTCGTGCCGATTCGGAGGCAGCCCAAGCTACAGGCCGTACTCCTTGATGAGGTTGCCGGCGATCACCAGGCGCTGGATCTCCGAGGTGCCCTCGTAGATCTCGGTGATGCGCGCGTCCCGGTAGAGCCGCTCGGCCGGCATGTCCGACACGTACCCCATGCCTCCCAGGATCTGGATGCACTGGTGGGCGCAGAAGGTGGCCGCCTCCGACGCCGCCAGCTTGGACATGGCCGCCATCTTGGTGAAGTTCTTGCCCTCGTCCTTGAGCAGCGACGCCTTGTACATAAGCAGCCGCGCCGATTCGGTGCGCAGCTCCATGTCGGCCAGCTTCGACTGGATGCACTGCATCTTGAGGATGGGCGAGCCGAAGGCGTTGCGCTTGGCGGCGTAGTCTATGGCGCAATCGATGGCCGCTTGCGCGATGCCCACGCCCTGAGCGGCGATACCGATGCGGCCGTTGTCCAGCGTGCGCATGGCGATCTTGAAGCCGTCACCCTCCTTGCCGAGCAGGTTCTCGCGCGGGATCTCGCAGTCCTCGAAGATGAGGTTGGCCGTGGAGGTGGCGCGGATGCCCAGCTTGTCCTCCTTCTTGCCCAGCGACAGGCCTGGGGTCGGCATTGGCACGATGAAGGCGCTGATGCCACGGTGCTTCTTGGCCTTGTCGGTGGTGGCAAACACCACCACGCCCGACGCCTCCCAGCTGTTGGTGATCCAGGACTTGGTGCCGTTCAGCACCCAGCGGTCCTCCTTCAGCACGGCCGTGGTGGAAGCGGCGCCCGCGTCAGAACCGTTGCCCGGCTCGCTCAGCGCGAAGCAGCCCACCAGCTGGCCGCCAGTGAACGGCTGCATGTGGCGCTGCAGCTGCTCGGGCGTCGCGTTGTACTTGAGCGGTCCCAGGTAGAGCGAGTTGTGGGCGGAGAAGATGGTACCAGTGGCCGCGCAGCCGCGCGAGATCTCTTCCATGGCGACGGCGTAGGAGAGCGTGTCGAGTCCGGCGCCGCCGTACTCCTCGGGCGAGTCGATGCCCATCAGACCCAGTTCGCCCATCTGCCGCACGTGGCCGGCCGGGAACTCGTGCGACTTGTCATAGCCGGCGGCCGCCGGCGCCAGCACCGAGTCGGCGAAGTCACCGCACGTCTTCTTCAGCATGCGGTGCTCCTCGGAGAGTGTGGCCAACCCGCGCGCCGCCGGCCGCGCCCACAGGCCACCCAGACGCGGCGCGGCGCGCAGCACATGACGCAGCGGCACCATCGCGGAGCGGTGTACGATTCAGTGGCGGGCGTCGAGTCTGCTCGGCCAGCCGCCTCCGCTCGCTTAACGCCGGCCAACGAGCTCGCTCTGTAAACAAACCGCGTGCACGCGACAGGCTACGTCATGGAGCTCACGATGAAGGTCACGATTTGACCTTTAGTCTCGATTCAGTGGCGAGCCAAACAAAAGGAGGGGGACCGTTGACCAAGGACCGTTGACCTCAAAAGTCTATAGCCTCGCTCACCAGAACGCGGGTCTCCGGAGCCGAAGACCCTGGTGGCTTACATATGCTGTAATACCTTTAAGTACAGCAGCCCAGTAATATACCCCTCAGACACCTTGCAGGGTGTGAGGCACATTAGCAAAGCTGTTTCAGATATCAGAAAATGCATAACAAGGGAACTCACCACAAATGGTCTCAGGTATGTGAAACTTTGGGGGCACAATATCTGAAAGATACCCCAATAATCTCACAAGGGCCCTGGAAGCCAAAGAGCCCTCCGATATACCATATGAGGTGGCCATTACAGTTGAGTAAACAAAGCATACAGTTATCCGCGTGCAACACTTAGAACAGTGGCGTAGCCCCAGGGGAAGGGGAGGGCAGCCCTTGGGGCCGCGTAGTCCCAGGGACTAGGCACCGGTGGTTCTTACACACTGTAAGATGGCCGGAGAATGCCCAAAGATGTCCTTAGCAAATAATTACAAAAAATTATGACACCATTTAACAATATGTTACAAAAATGTCATCTTGGGAGAGAACAGGTTCAGGTGTGCCATAACTTACAGGACCCAAGCCCTGAAAAGGGCCAATGATCTCAAATGGACCTAGGACTGCACTTCATGACATGCCTGTGGTGGTAGTCAAGGGCAGAGTTCATAAATGTTTGCCATGGACTTTGTACAGAAAAGAAAACTAAGTATTGAGATAATGCTTTGTTGCATAATTTAGATGTTTCATGGACCCCAGTTATTTGAATTTAATTACCACTGCACACTAGATTGGGTCTCCCAAAACAGTTAGTATGTTTTCTCACTGTGTGTAATAAACTGTAGTTGATTGCACAGACAGATGCAACATAACTCATGCTCTTATATGGCCCCAAATGGTTACAACATTCCTAATTCAGCTCGCTCTGTCACCTTTGGGTGAATTCTGCCATGTCACTGCCCTAGGAATTCACGAAGTGTGCTCAAAGAACATGTCTAGCCAACCTATAAAAAAGACCCTGTTTGTCACAAAGAGGGTTTCAGGGACCAAAAAGGACACCCAATAATCTGGCAGGTCCTCTGGTCTATCAATAACACTAAATATTGCAGAAAGGTACATAACAGATGTAAGGGACTGCAGCCAATAAAAAGAACTCAATGTTTAAACTGTCTCTCACTTATCTTGGAAGGGCCACAGGAACCAAACCAGCCCTCACATACTGTGGGACCAGTGCAAATAAATAGGGTTATAAGTCATCCTGCATATAAAGCATAGCCTGTGAAAGCCACAGAGCACAAAAGCTTAAAATTTGTGTGGCTCCCTCCTATATATGAAGAGGATCCCTGGAAGCATCAGAGTGGTCATAGGCCCAGGAAGACCCCTACTAAAAAAGTCATCATTTTTAATGCATCTGATTCCATATGACAGAAAATGCATATATCTTGTAAAATGACCATAGACATACACCAATAATCACTTATTGTGATACTATGTGTGACCTGTGTCAGAGTGGTACACTCTGTGTGAATTGTGTCTCATTGGTATATCATGGTTTAAATGCTACACTTTCTAATTATAGCGCCTTTAGGTTGACAGAGTGGCAAAAAGAAGCGGGAAAACGGCATACGCAGCTACGTTCCCTTATATGTTATATAATCAAGGCACACCCACCTAGCCTAAAAAGTTTTACCGCAATCCGCTATGACTGCCAACATCAATTTTTGTCGTCAAATTTAGGTTTAAATAGCCCCAGCTGATGATGCACCTTTTAAACTATCCCATTTCAATATCTCACCCTCCTTCCAACCAACCCCGCCACCATCCACTAAGCACCACGACTTACAGATATTCCAAAAGGGACTCACCCCAATTGTTCCAAATTTCAGCTATTGTAGCAGGTTCGCAATAATTGGCGCATGTTCCTAGAGGAGAGCTAGGTAAGAAATATCGCCTGGTCAAAAACACATGGTACACTGTATTGAAGTACACACTAGACAATTCATGCATAAAAGGGACCTTAAAATTTCATTTGCACAGTTTTACGCATGACTTCATGGTTAACACTCTTAGGAGAATAAAATGGAATATATTTGCTCTACAGACCGCACTCTGATCACTTCTCTACATTTTCTCTCGTACAGGGTCGGAGGAGTCAAAAGTAAGCGATGATATATGTTGACACCTTTGTGCCCTTTGCATGAAAGTGCGTTAGGGAATCCAATTTCCCGTTCAAACGTCATCTGTGATCTGGTCTTGATGGTCGTCTCCGTTTTTCCAGACAAGGGGTGCTAAATTACTGGCGTGTTTGTCTCTCGGGCGTCGAAATCGCTACCACATAACCGAGCCCTGCTTGAAAACAAGTGACAGCTTCTCTGCTAACATTATTTTATGCCTTGGACACCATGGATCACTGAAATATGAGATGTAATGAGAGTGGTGCACTGCTTCCGCTGTGTCACACTCAAATAACACATGCATGCATGCATACAACCACTGGATAATGCATGAAAGTAGTCGATGGGAATAGGAAATCTGTGGTGGCTGAAAGGTGCAAAACAGTTTGTTGCTGGGATTTCATGCTTAACACATCAGGTATATGAAAAGTATTGATGCTGCCCTGTTTGACACTGATTTTGTGATTAGATGTGTTGCCATCCACATTGTAAGCAGCAGCAAGGTAATAAATATTATCCATTACGTTAACAGTTTGACGGCCAGTATAACTGAAATCACTCAGATGGGTCTTGAGACACCAGACTGCTGTAAACATAAGCAGTCTGGCATTTCATTGATTATCAGCAACAGCTTTAATGCATGCACATTGCAAATCTGAAAGCTGTGAGCTTGGTGCATGATTATCATTGCAAGGTGCAGGTACCCAGTGTTTCAAGGTTGTGTGATGTTGATGAAAGGATGTAGGATGTTCTGGGCTATCTAACATAATTTCAGGCAAGAATACCTTAGACATTTGATCAACCAAAAACAGCTGAACATTGAACACAATTTGTACTGGCCTCAGCATGGTGCATTCATGCTCCAGGATAAGCCCACAGAAATCATGAGAGTGTGGTGCAGCTGATTTGCAGCCCAGTCCAGAAAAACCTTTCATACTGGTGGCAATGTCTAGGGTGTAGTTTTGCAACATGTATTTTGGAGGCTGGACATGTAAAGATGACTTATGATACTTCAAATACACAAAATTTGGACTTCTCCCAGATGTTGACTTATCTTACACTCCAGTCTTGTGAGCATGAACAGCTGGCTTTGTCTTCATGTTCATGTTGATTTGCATCATAGTTACAGCTTGAATGTATCATTCTGTCTGTCCTGTCACCCCAATATACCACAGCACATTTCAAGCTTATGATGCATGCATGGCTAAAAGTCCCATTTATCTGGTCATTTGCAGCACCAATGAATACCTGGTGATGTCTGGAAAAGTAGTTGTCTGAAACATCACATGGGCTAGAACACAAGGTAGTCCAAACTTTTCCAGTTTTCTTCATAGACAAAAAAATAATGTTTGTTTCTGTAAAACAAGGTTTTGCACTAGACGGAACTTTGATTTTGATCCTGTTTTATGCTGATGGGGTTTTATGTAGCTTCACATTTTCACAATTTGAAGCTGCAAGTTGTGGTTTCTTGTGAGTTGAGTTTGAAGTCATTGGTCTTGGATATGGTGTTGTGTGAAACAACATGAAATCAGTGGCTTCATCTTTGACTTTACACTTTCAAGCCTCTCAAGTCCTCAAGACTTGGGCCTCGAGGTTGACTTCAGCTTCACATCACTGTTTTGTCTTTGGACTAAATTTCACACTAGATGCCTGGCTTTGTCCCCCATGTGTGATGTGTGCTGCACCAGGAAATGCAGAGACGTGGACATAACAGAAATGCATCCATTTTATAACTGAGCTCAATCTATGCATTGAAATGGTCATAAAGCTGTCAGAGTTACCCCTTGTGTGAATCATGGGCAGGATGGAGACAGGAGTCCCATGATTTATCAGGGGATTTATTCCAAGGGTGTAGGTTTTGTGATGATTTTCCCTTTTCAAATTAGCGGAATGTTGTCTGTAGACTTTGCATGGGATATTCTCTTTAGAGTAGTCAATATGCACATGTCCTGACTAGTCCAAATGCATGGGTCATGCTCTTTTGAATGGCAGCCCAGTCTTTTTAGGGAGTGCTTCACATTTGTGTAAAGTCTCAAGCTGAAATAGCTGTCTTGAAGATCGTTTGGTGCAGTTCACAGCCCCGCTCTTTTTAAGGCTTAAATTGCTCTAGTTTCTGAGCCACATGCCTCAGGGTCACTCTGGCATCCATGGTGTCCTAATAATGTCATTTTAATTATGTCATTTCATGAGCTATGTGGCGATCAAGGCCAGTAAAAAATATTGTTGAGTGGCTTATATCTGATGTTTGTGAGTGAGGTTTCCAGATGTAACAGCCATCAATTGGCTCTCAATCAATGTTGCACAAGGTTTGATGATGTAGTCAAACAATGGCACATTGTGGAGCTTATTTACCAAATAGTTAGAATGTATTGTCTAGACCTGTCATACCAACTTTTAAGCCATTATACTTATAGTACCAATGGCTATGAAATGGCCTATTTCATCATATATGATGCTTGCTTCAGTATCTTCAACTGTGAAGCATTTCCTTTAAATGTGAAGCATTCCCTTTAACAAGGCATTCAGCTTTCATCATACGTTTCGGTTTGCGGAGCCTCGCATATTGAGTAACGTTCTACAGTGCATACTGTTCAACATGCGTTGCCGACCACTAATTCACTGATGTCCGCGTACGCCGTCAGTTCTGGCACTCACAACTGTTGTGTTTTCAGGTCATGGCGGGCGGCGAGGAAGCGAAGTTTACGGGCTTGTCCAAGATCTTCAACAGTTATACCATTACCGGCCGGGCCAATGTAAGCATGTTAATGGACATCTCTGCCGCAGATGTTACTCAGTTATGATAGGTATAAGGCGATGTATTCGGGTACTTTTGGCAGTGAGGGCATTAGCTGTAAAATGGTAAGCCGGGAAGGGAAGCCGGTGGGATGCTCACTCCCAAAGAGTGGGTTTTAGGGAAAGAACCCTGGGAGTTGAAATGTTGTATGCTGGATGCGAGCTCATCAATGCTCGTGCTCTTCACCGATACGCTCGTGCGTATCGGTAGCCTCCGCCACTTTGATGGAAGCCACAGCGCTGTTTTACTTACATCGCACGGGCTTTGTGCGCGTCGCGATTCTGTTCTGTGGCTGTCGTTGTATACATTGTTCGGGCTTCCGGCCTGGATAGTTTTGCCGTAGTATCAGTTGTTAACCTGCGTCAGTGATTGGATAGAGACATTTGAGGTAGCTTTGGCTCTGTTAAGCTTTTCCGAGCAATATATTGATCAAATGTTTCCTTCGCAGGTTGCGAAAGCGACGTATGCTGCCATGGCCCTGGGTTTCATTTATTACAAGATGAAACCATCGAAGAAGGCGTGATGTGGTCTCGACTCTGATGAACGCTGTTGTGAATAGATTTGCATGCAGTGGAAATACAACTTGTGGCGTGGGACTGAGTGACAGTATTGTTTGCTTCTTCAATGGGCTCTGTGCCAGGCCGGTCGTGACTAAGTGCAGTATACTAGTGAAAATATCTCATTTTCTAGGCTGACTGAAAAGACTCGTCGAGGAAGGGTTTTCAGGAAAATGTCAAGATGAGGTCTGCACGTGGAAGGGCTATGAGGAAACGGCATAGCGCGATTCAGCGGTGTGCGATGGGTGTAATCTTGCTTTTCTTCTCAATACGTACTGGCATCGTCAATTTTGCAAGATGGATTATTGGACCCCGTCGCGTCATGCTGTGCCAGACATTACATGGAGCCGATTGATGACAAATTGCGCCGGCTGTCGGGCACGCCACTGGTCGTTGTTATTGAACAATGACGGTTCGTGTAAATAACAACTAGTCGCCGTTGTTGAGTATTATTCCCCACCACTTGACACCGCTCGGATTAACGTTGTCCGGTGTAGAATATTCCGTTGGACAAACTGCATTCAGGCTAAAGCTTCGGCATTCGCGAGGGAGCAAAATCTGCCCTGTCCAGTATTTGCGATAATTCCAAAACACCATGAGGGATCGCTGCGAAATGTTTAGCCGTCGGTTGATGAGTTCTATGCCTTATGCTATTTTTTTCGCCATTATGTCATTATGCACATTATTATCTATGCCAAAATAACAATTATGAGGTCATAATAGATAAAGCGTGAGTGACGTCGGAGTGACGTAGTGTTTCCCGCTTTTTTAAAGAAATTGCGCATTTACTTAACAAGTAGCCACAAGCAACTTACACAGTAGCCGAACGGAAAGATACATTTGGTGCGTGGTGTGAGACCGCACGCCAGGGAGCTATCAACCGCTATTCGAATTTTGAATTCGGTCCGGCCGTTTTTTAGATAAGCAGGGATCTTATCCGCCCCTCCCCCCCCCCCCCCCCCCTCCCTTCCCCTCCAATGAATTGCCGCCGAGGAGCCCGGCCAACGCCGGACAAAGAAGCTGGACCGTGTTAGATAAAGCTACGGCTGTGAAATTTGACCATTGCAGTCTGGTGACTGGCCATCGCAGTTCAAGGCGAGTGACAGGTGACGTATCCATTTCCAGAAAGTTGCATCGGACTGGTAGCTTCTGAATTCCTATCTGAATATGTATTGCCATCGACTGCTGCCTGTGGTTAGGGCAGATCATGAGCGTCGCA